ATCCTGGAAACCAAAAATATCTCATGTAAGCTACTCCACTTTCTCACTTGACACATGAAAACCCCAAGGTCCAAAGGGATGAAGTAACCCCCCTCCAAGATTATCAGTTTTCTGTTTTTCCAAGGATGTAACAAACCAAAACAAACAAACAAACAAAAAACATCCCCCCCCAAAAAAAAACAACCATCTGTGTGACATGGAATAGGGAGGCCAGCATGACAAAGTATAAGATTGGACCTTAATGATTTCCTTCCTTTCCCTCAGCCTCAGTTTCCTCCTTTCTAAAACTCACATACTTTGAAGGTGGGTGTGAGAATCCAAAGAGAGAATAAAGTATTAAGCATATGGTCAGTCTGGAAGCTGGTGGGTAGCAACAAAAAACATCTATAATAGGTGTTGTTGTTTTTACAACTGTTAATAACATGTTGTTTTATGAAATTATGAAGTCAAGAATCAAAATAACTTTAATGATAATTATTATTATTTTAACAGTATGCCCAGTATTTCTTGTGTAAAATATCTGGATATTTTACTACCTGCTTTAAATGCATTAACTCCCTCAAGTATCCCAATTCTGTATCTTAGAAAAGCCTACAAATTTGCTTGATAGTCAATAAAAGATGCTCTTAGGATGTGAGTATAGGCTGTCTAGATGCTCAAGTTCCTGCTGTTAACCTGGATAAAGACTCACTCATCTGATGGGAAAATGAAAATATATTATTTTATAAAGTAAGGGCCTGGAGGTTTTTTTTTTTTCCAAACTCAAAAGTCTGAAAGGCTTCATTTTAAAGGAGGGCATCAATCACCTCACTTAACCAAGTCATACTGTTATAATAAATGTCATGGTTGAGTATGAGGTCACTCAATGTCAGCTTAATACCCCCCTTTAACAGGGAGCTATAAGTCAGCCCTGCCATCCTAAGATTTATCTCTGGTTTACACTAAAATTGGTTGGCTTTTCTATTGATTATTTGAGATACAAAAGCTTGAGAATCAGCTGCTTTTTATTTGATATGTCCCCATATCCATCAAACTTGCAATTTTGATGTATCTTCAAGCTTCCAAGCCTGTCTTCCATAATGGGTGAGGGTCATCTCTTTGAATGCTAGTCAAAGGCCTTCTATTCCTATTCCTCAGATATTTTTCTGAGATTTTACTTATGCACACTCTTAACCAGGTTAATTTTATCCACTGCACCCCTAGGAATGAGTTGGGAGTTGGAGTGTGCAGGAGAGATATCCTTTAAGGGTTCTCAGTCCTCTTGCAAAAAGTCCTGTTGTCAATAAAAAGGCCTTCGTGTTGCAAAGGTTAGGAGGAGGGTGCCTTATATTGTGAAATCTGTGAGGATCTCACTTTTCTGGAACTCCCTGACATCTGAGCCCTCGTGCTGCTGGAAGCATTCCAAGAGAACCATAAAATTAGGGCTGGTCCTGTCTGAACTGAGTCCAGATCATTTCAAAGTGACTCAAGGCAGGGAAATAAATATTGAACCTAGTTAAATGTTGCTTGAGATTATGCTTGGCACCGAGTGTCCACTCCCTGATTTGCTCTTAGGTTACATGGGTTATTTTTTAGCTCAAATGGATATGCCAGGGTGGATTCCTTCAATGGCAGCAATTATTTGCAAGCACAGTTGCATTTCTGACACATTTAGTGAAATGAAATGTAAAGATTTATGAGATGCCATGGGGTGGATGGAGGAGACACCCAAGGCCTCGGTTTCATGCTGCTTGACTCCACCCTGAATACCATTTAGCTGACCCTGTTCCTTTCCTCCTTCTCTGCTTACTTAAGCTAACGTTCCTTCCTCTCTTCCTTCCTTCCTTCCTTCCTTCCTTCCTTCCTTCCTCCCTCCCTTCCTTCTCTTTCCTCCTTCCTTTCTTTCTCTTTCTTTCTTCCTTTCTCTTTTCCATTTTGAAGGCAATATCTGTAAGTTCTGAATGCACAGTAAGAAGTAAGACTCGAGAAGTTCCAAGATCTAATGATCTGCGGCTTACCCAACCCCTGCTCTAACACACACACAGAGGCTGTGGCTTTACAAGAAATATTTGAAATGCCCAGTCTCACCTTAAAAGGCAGAGTAGAGCAGAGGCACCAGAAGCACACATGGACTATCTACAGACAATTTAGGAGGATGATATTGGATTCAGCCTATCAGTGCCTCAAGATGGATGCTATGTGTTCTGTGCCTCTTTTCTCTCCAGCAAAAGGAGGACCCATACAGGGTCAAGTTTAACCTGACTCATCACCTTAGGTTGCTTGATATCTTTAGCCCAGCCAGACATAGAGCAGTATCTGAGAGAAGCCTTTGGAGCCAGTCAAACCCACACAGGGATCCCTGACTTCCACTGTAGTCCTTCCCAACCCAGGACAATTGACCTCAAACTCCATGTGTTCAATTCTCTTATCTCTAAACTAGGGGTGCTAACAATTCCTACTGAAAACTCTGCTGTATTAAGGCAGTTACACAATCCAATGCTTAGACAGACAGACACACACACACACACACACACAGTAAACAGAAGTGGTAGAAATTATAAAAGTTCCCTATAGGCCAAACCACTTCTCTTTCTGAGAGGCCTGAAGACTCAGCACTGTCAGGACTACAGTCCCAGTCCTCTGCAGACCTTGTCTACACCTGAAGGTGATTCAGAGCCCTGGGAGAGGTGAAAAATATTGGAGGGCAGAGGAGACACACGGCAACCCATCAGGTAGAGAGTTACTTCCTTCCCAGGACACACAGTTGTTTCCTGGGTTACAAAGATGAAAGCTCCAGCTTTGAGCAGTTTCTACATTGTCGGGGAGGGGGGGGGCCTATTCAACTTCAGAGCACAGGTCTTTTCGACAAGCCCATATCTTGAACACGTAGACACAACAGTGCACAGATTAAATCCCATTAGAAAAAAAAATCAATAGGCAATATCTGTTTCACAAAGCACCAGACTTAGACTGTCTTGTTTCAAGAACTATTTGATCCAACATTAGGCCAGGCACCACAATTTACATGTGTAAAAGGCTTTACAGTTCCCAGGGCACTTCAGCCGCACACTTTATATTACTCAAACCTTCTCTAAACCTCTCAAGGTGAGTATTATTATCTCTGTTGTACTGACAAAAAGCCAATGTCCAGGAAGTTTTTAGATGAATCTTGTTTCTTGATCTTGGACCTTCTACTCCCATGGTTGTTACATACTGTTCACCTTTATCCACCAGCTGACTATTGGCCCCCTCAACCCTTATCACCCACCATCCAATACTCACCCACCCAGTGTGTCTCTTGTTAGAAATATGACCAGTTTGTGGGGCCTGAAGAAGGCTGAAAGTTAAGTGAGACATAAGAAGTATCTAGTTTTAAAATCTAGTTGACTATGTACCATGCACAGAAGAACCCAGCGGAAAGGAAACAAGTTCAAGAACTTCTGGGAGATTTTCACTCTTCCAGCTTTTAGAAGGAAACTTGGCACAAAAGGGCAATTTACCTTGTGATCTCATGAATGTCAAGACCATGGTAACATTATTAATACATCCCCTTAGATCTCAGACACAAAATGATATCTCAGAAAGTTATAAAACAAGGAGGAATTTACAACTGGAGGCAGATTGATTCTTTTCCCAAACTCTTTGTTCCCATCCATACCGAATTATATTTGTCTTTGTTGTTATTGTTGGTTTTTTGTTGTTTTTTTTTTTTTTTTTTTTCAAGATAGGGTTTCTCTGTGTAACAACCCTGGCTGTCCTGGAACTCACTTTGTAGAACAGGCTGGCCTCAACCTCACAGAAATCTGCCTGCCTCTGCCTCCTAAGTACTGGGATGAAAGGCATGTGTCACCACCACGCTGCCCAACACAAGTTTTTAGGAGGGCCCCAATGCCCCTCTTTTTGCTTAGTGGAAAGTCCTGAGCTTCTCAAATTATCAATGCCCATGAAGACAGAAAAAACAAAACCAGTGACGTTGATTTCATCCTCCTCTCCAACTAGTAAGTGAAGAACAGTGATCAACGAACCCTTGTAACCAGGTATGGATCATTCACCAGAGAAGGCATGATGTAAGCATAGTGCTGAAAGGATTATTTCAAAATGTCTCTCATTTCCCTCCCCTAGGCCTGAAGCAGTGGAGCCAGAAGGGGACATTCAGAAGGAGCCACAGCCACCAGCCAAAGCCTCCAAGAGAGCCCAGCTCCTTGACTTTGCAGCATACAGACAGCAACCAGATGGGCTATCAGCTATATGGAGTCACAGTAGAGACTGCATTTGAGAACATGTTCAAAATGGTTGTCTGTCTTCGGTTCAGCCCCCAAATAAAGCAGGGTGCTCCCTTCAAGGAAAACAAAGCCTTCTTATAACCCCTTATCAACACAGCATAGTCACTGAATAGACTAAAAAGGCGGAGCTCCCTGGAATCAGCCACTGGACTACACTTGAAGTTAACCCGAGCACACCCAATGATGTCTGTAGATCCCAAGATAAGATCCCATTAGCCTCTGTGAAGAATCAGCCCAGCATTTTCCAGCAGTGTTTAAAACGCTTAGCTGGATGGACTAGGAAGCCACTGGCACTCTAAGTCTAAAGGTGACCCACTGAGTACTCTGCTGAGGCCAAGGGTAAAATCCCTGAAGTGCTCTAGAGTCAATGGCCTCCTGCCACCGCTATGGCATCTCTCGAACACACTAGAGATGGCTACAGTACCTTGAACTTGAGGCAGGGCTGAGGAGACTACAGGAGGAACCTCCCTCCCTGGAAGTTTGACAAACCACCTCCCACAGTGTTCCTCTTCTCTGGAGGAGCTTGGTGAAGCACAGGGGTTCGAAGTCAGAGTAACAAGGCTGAATCCCACCTCTTCCCACCAACCAGGGGATAAGAAGCAAGGCCCTTAACCTCCCCAGTCCACAGGCTCACAGCCCAACAGGTTGTTTCCATGGTCGGCTGGTATGCTTGGTATGAAGGCTGAGCACATTAAGTTGAGATATAAAGTCTCCTTTCGGAGCCTGTGTCTCTCCTACCTGCACATGTGGACTCTGTGGCCGCCATCCTTTTCTTGTCTCCAGGCTTCTCTTCCCTTTACTCTTCTGAAACCCATTTCAGCTGTCCTGTTATGTGAATAAAATCCCCAGTCACAATCCATATAGGCTTCACATGCTGCCTTTCAGGGCCATGCATTGTTTTTTTGTTTTGTTTTGTTTTGTTTTTTACTCTTTTGGGAGGGGGCGCCACCCAGCTCCCAAATAAATCATACACGGAGGCTTATTGTTAATTATCAATGCCCGGCCTTAGCTTGGCTTAGTTTCTTGCCAGCTTTCCTTAACTTACTCCAACTACCTTTTGCCTCTGGGATTTTTCTGTTCTCTAACTTCTGTAAATCTTATTCTTACTCTGTGGCATGCTGTGTAACTGAATGGCTGGCCCCTGGAATCCTCCTCCTTCTCTGGCTCCTAGCTCTTAGATCCCTCTTCCCAGAGTTCTCCTATATATTCTCTCTGCCTGCCAGCCCCACCTATCCTTTCTCCTGCCTTGCTATTGGGCCAGTTCTTTATTAGACCATCAGGTGTTTTAGACAGGCACAGTAACACAGCTTCACAGAGTTAAACAAATACAACATAAACAAAAGTAACACACCTTAAAATATTTTACTACAGTCATGTGTCTTCAATAGAAGGTTAGCATGCCTCCCAGGAATCCCCAAGTAAAACGATTTATCTGCAATCAGAAGAGAAATAGTGCATTGAAAAAGAGGTAGAAGGATGGGGGAGGCACTCATAACATGACTCAATTTTAAGATTAAAAAGTATACATATAGGCCAGGCGACGGTGGTGTACACCTTTAATCCCAACACTAGGGAGGCAGAGCCAGGCAGATCTCCGTGAGTTCAAGGCCAGCCTGGTCTACAGAGCGAGCTCCAGGACAGGCACCAAAACTACACAGAGAAATCCTGTCTCAAAAATAAAAAACAAAAAACAAAAACCAGTACACGTATGAGATATTTTATAGGCAGAGTTGAGAAGGTATTTTCCTGGGGTTGTGTGTAGTGCTGAAGAGGACCTAGTATTATCAAATGGAAACCAGTACTCAGTAGCCCAAAGCAATATTATTGTGCCTAGATCTCTAGCCTCTGGAATCTCTGGCAAAGGATAACTGGGCCAACCTAAGATCTCTCCCTTCTGTGTCCTTTTCATGTGGCCAAGAGTATAGGCCATCCGGAGATACCCTAATAAGGCTGCTCTCTGCAGTTTTTGGGGATCAATACAGCCACACCAGTAACCTTTTTGTTCTTCCTCAGCTCCCATGCATCTGCTTGTACTCAGCCATACACACTCTCCCTATCTCCAGGTCTGAGAGAAGAATGCATAGAACAAACTGTAGACTGCATACAGAGCAATGGTTCTCAACCTGTGGGTCTCGACCTCTTTGGGAGTCAAAGGGGTTGCCTAAGACCATTAGAAAGCACAGATATTTACATCAAAATTCATAACAGTAGCAAAATTACAGTTATGAAGTAGCAACAAAAATAACTTTATGGTTGGGGCTCATCACAACATGAGGAACTGTATTAAAAGGTCAGGGTCACAACATTAGGAAGGTTGAGAACCACTAATGTAGAGAGTGACACTGGCCAGATACATTGACATGTGTCTTCCAGGATAAGAACCAGACTCATTGCCAAGTGTCCACATCATTTTCTCTCTGAAAACAATCTTGTACGTAGATGGGTTTTTTTCAATCTTCTACCCGGACCACCTTGTGCCTGGCAACACACCCTTACTAAGGACACAGAACCAGAAGAGATTTAAGACTAAGAGGAAGCAAACTCTCCAAAGCTGTACTAGTGTCTTCTGTGATTGGGACGGCTTCCCCAAAGTGATCAGACGCCCTTGCCCACCACCCATCAGCCAGGCAAGCCTATTGAGGGCTCAAGTACCCGAGGGAGGGTCCTGCCCTGTTGCAATGAATTCATTGTGGCACAAAGCCCAGCCCATTCCTATGTATCTCCAGGCATTTAACGAGTGTCGTTAATGATGATGATGCAACCCTTTCAGCTTAGATCTGTCAGGGTCCCCAAGGCATGCAGCGATCCCCTGGGAAGCATATATTATCTGAAGCTTTCGCTTTTGCTTAATTACATTGTACTAATGTTCTCTTTCCACTAGATTTCTCGCTGCCAACTCCCCCATTCAGCCAGGCTTCACTGTGGGTTGGATTTACATAAAAGACCAGCACATTATAATTGTGATGATTGATCACCGAAGTTTCCTTGGGTTCAGATTGTTTCCTAATGTGGGTCATTTTTCATCATAAAGACTCGGCTGATAATGATGTCATTTCCATTGCTTGAATTTCAAGGCAATGGCCACATATCACAGAGTTTAAAATGACTGTCTATAGGGCAGCAGAATCACATCCTTATCAGTTTAAAGCAGTTGTTGCCTTACTCCTGGGGACCAAAATGATAACTGGAGCCTTCTGACGCTCATCAAATAAGAGCTTCAGGAATCCGAATCCGCATCTGTAGCTGGGAAAGGGGGCCGTCAGCTGGCAAACCTGTTTCTATGTGAAGCCGTGTGGCAAGTTAGCACCAGATAAAAACCACAAAGTCAGACTTGACAGAAAAGAAGCCGCATTGCTGATCCCTGGATATCTCAGGTATCCTCCTCCACAATCATGGCACTGTGATTCCACAGCAAGACTAACGGGGAAGAATTGAATGACTCTAGGAGAGCTCTGGACAGAAACCCATCTTGCCCAATGAGCCAATAAGCATGCCTCTTGGTTGAGTGATGGTTTGGGATGGAGCTGGGACATGACCTTGATTTTTTTGTTTGTGAAACATGTATGTGAAATGGAATGATGTTGTATTTCAAACACATGGTTATAGCAGGCTTTATTTTGTCTATCAACCAGCTCCCAAATCCTGACACATTAGTTCTGAATGTTCAGCCTTATCTTATGCTGGTCCCACTAGCTCTTATTACTTAATTTAACCTGTTTCTCTTCATCTACGTTTTGCCTCAGGGCTTTTTACCTTTATTTCATTCTGTATGTCCTACTTTGTGTCTGGCTGAGTAGCGGCTGCCTGGCTGGCTAGGCCCTGGTGTCTCCCTTTCTTTCTCCCTCATTCCTTCCCTCTTGTTTTCAAGCCTAGATTCCTTCTCCTCCTTATTCTCTCTGCCCGCCAGTCACACCTATCCCTCTGCTGCCTATCTGTTGACCGTTGGGCTTTTTATCAGACCAATCAGATGCCTTAGGCAGGCAAGGTGAAACAGCAACACATCTTTGCATAATTAAACAAATGCAGCATAAACAAATGTAACACATCTTTTCCTAATCATATTCCACAACACGTGGCTGTGTCGTTACAACCCAAAGCAGTGTGACTGAGCTGTGCCCCAGATGACCTGATTTCTGGCATTTGCCTCTAGCCACATCATATTAGCACATGCCCTGGAACCCTCTCGGACATTCTGCAGGTGGTAAAGTTTGCAGATATTCTCCAGCTCTGCCTTTCTCATTTGGCTCAGAATGTTTCCACCTTATTTTGAAAAGTGTCTAACTTAGAGAAAAGTTGAAGGAACAGCACAATAGTACCCAAATCCACTTAACTGTATACGCTTGCTTTTTATGTTGTCTGGTGTAGAGTTTGTCTATGCACACACACAAGCATGACTTTTATTTAGTCATCTGAGAATTATTTGCCTGTCTTTATGGCATCTTACTCCTACATTCTAAGGACTCCAAAAAGAACAACAACAACAAAAAAGCATCATCCTCCTTCCCAGGACACAATGGTCATACTCAAGAAATTTAACATTCATAAAAATACTGTTCTTTAACAGGGTCCTTTTCCCAGTGTTCCAGTTATTGTTTCTATCATTTCATGAAGAATGAGTGTTATCTGTGTATTTGTACGTGTTTCTCTGTTTGTGTGTGTGTGTGTGTGTGTGTGTGTGTGTGTGTGTGTGTGTGTGTGTTTCCATATATACATTCGCATGCATCTTTGGGATCCAATCAAAGATCACCTGTTACATTTAACTGACATGTCACTTTACTTTGAATGTTTTCATTTACTTTTTGTTCTGTGCTATTGCTAACTCAAAACTTCATTTCTTAGGATGGTAGTGAAATACCAAGGGGGGGGGGCATCGAACCCACTGGAAGGATTTGCACTGTAAAACTGAAATAATTTGAGCACCCAAGTGACAAGTGAAAGAAAGGATTGTTTTTAAAATGGTGGTGGGGGGGATACAATCTGATATTTTAAAAAATAAAAGTGGGAAGGAAAATGGAAAAGTCATCTCTACTGAATAACATCAACTAATAAGTGGAGGGGGGAATTAGACATAGAAAAGCACTGTTGTGTTCTATAACCCCATAGTGATAACTAAGAACTGCCTGGTCTGAGGGGTGAGAGTGAATATGTGTGACATGAAAGCAGAAGTCATGGTGTATGGGGCAGGGGAGAAGAAAGGAACCAATTAGGAGGTGGGGGGCTGTGGGGAGGGCAATGAAGGAGGGGATGAATTAGAAAAGGTATAATGATATATATGTATGAAATTGCCTTAATGAAATCCACTACTTCACACGCTAACACGAATCATTTAAAATTTTAAATAAAAAAGAATGGTCACCACCCAGTGCATATTGGCATCCCTCTTCTCCCATAGTGGGAATCTAGGTGTGAACCACCCCTGTGGCTGTATCTCATCTGTTTAGTCCTAGAATACACACTACCAACGACCAACTAAATTAGAGTCACGAGTTCTTTACAGTTGAATTTTTCTTTTTGAACATTAGCACTTGAGTCTATACTACGTTGTAACCTTTCAAAATAATGTGTAGGTTTTCTTTTAATATGTCATAGTTCTTTTGTTTTCTGTTTTGTTTGGGTTCCGTCTTCGTTTTGTTTCTAGCCTTGCCAATTTAAACTTTGTTGGGTTGTTTGTTTTTTGTTTTTTTGTTTGGTGTTTTTGTTTTTGTATTTTAGTGGTATAAACCATTATCAATATGTAAAACTGAAAACTAAATAAAAGGTTATACGTAGAAAAGTCACACTCTCTCTTCCCCTTGGCCTTGACTCCCACTGGCTCCTGTCGCTGATCAGTTGTACTGGTTTCTGGCTCCTTTGTCCTGGGTTTCTTTTTGAAGAAAAAGGAAGGAGCAAATTCCCTGGCAAATTCTTAAACATTAATGTTTGCACCTCTTCTGTGATCGCTGAGTTTGGATTTTCGAAGAACATAGGAGAAAAATTCCATAAGATGAGTGCACTCCCAGAACTTTATTTCTGATCTCCTACTTGGAGCTGGAAGAATCATGTCTGTTTTCCTAACATCAGAAAAGTCAGCAGTGCGGACAAGGAAGAATGATGGAGACCAGGTCTGGCATGTGACACAGGGGCTTACCCAACATCAAATTCCACCAACTGTGTACTTCTTGTCTCAAAAAACAATTGAGCAAATAACTTGGCTCAATTCCGTTTCTCTTGTTAATGTGACCCAATAACCACGCCAGCCATAGAACTTCTCAGGCCCCAGACAAATCAGATCCTATTGATCTTGCAGTTTAAGACACATCCATGGCACCCTACTACTCTGTGGATAAATTCAAAGCTCACAAAATGCTCAGTAGACTGCCCTCTGAAGTCCCACATGGCATTCCAACACACATGTGCATGAACTTTTGAGTCCTAGCTGCCTGATTTTTCTCTCA